AGAAGTTATCTGAGGTGTCTGTTGCAGAGGAAAATCAAGAGACTCAAAGCTGGAGCTCAAAACTTTCTGGAGAGAACTTAAATGAGAGAAGGAGAGATGCATCAACTAAGGCACAGACCAGTGGATATTCAAACCAGAATTCTATCAATCCCCAAACGAGTAACAATGATAATTTGAGTAGTGGAAATCCAATGAATGACAGTAGGAAAAGGACGACAAATTTGACAGGAAGTTCACCTCAACCGTCTGGGGATCAGAATGGTATGAGCACCTGGAGTGGAAAGAGTTTGGAAGGTTCAGCGGTGAAGGAACCAGATCCATTGGACATGTCGGAGGAGGCCAAAGCAGAGAGGTGGTTTCGCCGTGTTGCCCAGATAAAGGACATTTCAGAGCTTAGCCAGATCCCTGACGAAGATTTTCCTTCGATAATGCCAATGAGGAAAGGGGTGAATAGGTTTGTCGTTAGTAAGCGGAAAACACCATTGGAGAGGAGGTTGACATCCCAACAGTATCGGAGAAATCTTCCAACTGTGAACTCAGATCCGGAGAAAAAGGAAAGTGATGGAAGCTGAAGAAAGAAAACCAATTTTGGTAATATTATGATAATTTCCTTTTGGAACATCCAATCATGATGTTGGTTTGTTGTCTAATATGTTCTTCTTCATTACTAGAGAAAGAAAAAGAAACCTTCACCAATTTGGTGTACCATTCATCTTTTTGTGTGCGTGGAAATTGAAAGATGCCATACTATTTTCTATGAGATACAAGTTAGGACATTTCGTTCTAACATTTCACCAGCAAAATGTTTAGCCTATTGTTTTAGGAAGTTTTAAATAGGTCCAATTTAAAAGCGAAGAGATAAAAATAATGATAATATATAAATAATACAAACTTCATATGTAAAGGTTTAATGTGTTTTATACGGATTGTTTAAACTGCTACTTTATTAGACTATTTAATATTTTTTATTATTTTTTAAAAATAAAAGATCACAGTAGTCATATAATAAAAAAATTCAAATGGGAATCTTTTTTGGGACGGTCTCAATTTTTCTATTAAATTTTTTTTTCTTTTCTATACCTTTTATTATTTTTAAAAATAGTTATATTTGTCCATTATTATTTAGAGTTTCAAAAGATCTCCACACATTATCACTGGATTTCCATTATTCCTTTTAAGAAAAAAATTCTTGAATTATTATTTTTTTATTATGATCAATCAGGTTTTTAGATTTTTATTTTAAATTAATTAAGTTTTTATAATTAATAACTAATTAATTGTTATTAATCAAAATGTTACTATCACTTTATATCAATTAATATAATATGTTGACATGTTATAATAAAAAATAATAAAATAAATAAAAATTTTGTCATCTACTTAACGTTGGCTTGCAATAGAGGCATGATTTACATTTTCTTTTCAAAAAAGAAAATTTGGAGAATAATTTTGTTAAAATATCAATGCCAAGAAGGTTATCTTAGTATTTTTTTATTTTTTTTTGTATTATTGACGTTTTGAAAATTAATATCATCACGTTATCACTATCATCTAATCATTTGATACATTTTTTTTAAGTGATCAAAATAGAGACTAATAGAAAAATATCATCAAAATCTAATCATTCCAATTTTTTTTAGCATTATGAGTGTTAGAATATTTCCGACTTCTGGACTAAACAGCATAATTGTTAATGGAATGATGTCAAGAAAGGTGATCCCATTTATTTTTATTGATTAGGAAAGGAGATAATTTAAATGATTAAAACATAAACTTAGATAACTCATATCCATGCATTTAATTAGTTATTTACTTTTGTAATAAGCAAAGGGTCTCACATTTTAATTTTAAAGCTAGATTCATCAATTCATTTTTGGTATTTTAATTGTGTATGGTGTAAACATAAAGTATTAAAAATTGTATGGATAAATATGAATATGTCATAATTAGTTAAATATGTCATGATCCTAATACAAATACAAATACATTTATTTAATGTGCGTTATTCAATATAACACACCAAACATGTTTATTAAACAAATTGGTTAAATTTTCTATACAATATGACATGATTTATATTTAAATGATTAAAACAATTAGATAAAATACATATAATTAAAAATGATTTCATTATTCAAATTTAAAATTAATAATAAAAAAAATAATTATAACAAAAAAAAAATTAATATTCTTGAAATATAATAAAGTCCATAGTCATTATCAACCATAGTAAAAAAAAGTATAT